AAACTCCCACCGCCCGCCCGCCGCCCGCCCACGCGCAGAAAGGTGTGGGGGGGGGGGGGGTTTGGTCTATTAAATGCAGATCGTGTCCATTTCCCTCCCCCCCCACCCCCCCCCCAACCCCACCCCAACCCAATTTGCCCCCCACCACCCTCTGGCCCCCAACCCACCATTATTATTATGAGAGAATAAAGTACTGTACGTAGAATATAACAGAGAGAGAAAAAAATAAATACATATATATATAGAGAGAGAGAGAGAACAGAATATACAGACCAAGACGATGAGAATAACGACAATAATGTAACAACGATTATTATCATTAGTCTGGAACAAAATATGTATGAAATTAGACAACACACATACATACGCAGCGGAGAAAATAATAATAAATAATAATAACACTAAAGGTAACTGCGTTTGATACGGCGCCTTATCACGGCTTCGAGACCGGTCAAAGCGCTTCACGGAATATACTGGAAGTCCGTGATGGACCTGCGGGCGGAACGCGGCAGCGCAGTGCGCGCAGCGGCGTTCCCACAAACAGCCGCGGAGTGCGCGACCAATTTATTGTTATGATTATTATTATTACTATTATTATTATTGTACCTCTCGAAGGGATTATTATGACCCCCCGGAAAGGCCCTCCGCCCGGGTATGGGGGGACGGAATACACGGACTGAGACGTCGTTAAGACTCTGAAGGGGGCGGACAGTGTAGACCAGAGGACGGACGGCGTCCAACTGGTCCGGGACAGCGAAAACCAGAGGGACACCTTCCGACGTTCCGGGGTTTAAGATTCCCGGGATTGAAGGGATTAAATTCAGGACAAACCTACACACATACACAAAACACGATTTCGGCGAGTGAGCGAGTAATAAATAGGGAGGGGGGGGATTGATGGATTGATTGATTGATTGGTTGATTGATTGATTGATTGATAGATAGAAGTGTGATAGATAGATAGATAGATAGATAGATAGATAGATAGATAGATAGATAGATAGATAGATAGATAGATAGATAGATAGATAGATAGATAGATAGATAGATAGATAGATAGATAGATAGATAGATAGATAGATAGTTAGTGAGTGAGTGATTGAACGATTGATCGATTGATCGATTGATTGATTGATTGATTGATCGATCGATTGATTATTGATTGATTGATAGAAGTGAGATAGATAGACAGACAGATAGAGAGTGATTGATCGATCGATTGATTATTGATTGATTGATTGATTGAGATTGATTGATTGATTGATTGATTGATAGAAGTGAGATAGATAGATAGATAGATAGATAGATAGATAGATAGATAGATAGATAGATAGATAGATAGATAGATAGATAGATAGATAGATAGATAGATAGAGAGTGAATGATCGATCGATCGATTGACTGATTATTGATTGATTATGAGGGACAGAGGGGACAGAGAGGGGGTGTGTGGGGCAGTGAGTGTGAGTCACGGTGACCGTGAGGGGAGGACAGGCGGGTGGTTACCTGCTGCGCCCCCAACACCAGCGCCCGGTCACCGACACTCAGGTACACCGGCGGCGGCGGCGGCCGAGCCCGAGGCCTGGGCCTGGGCCTGGGGGGGAGGCGGGACCCCGGGCCCGGGCCCGGCCTCAGGCGGGTGAAGGTGACGCTGCCGCTGCCGTGGAAGCGCCCGACGGCCCCGCGGATGACCGCGGGGTAACACCTCTGGAAGCGGACCCACAGGTACAGGTAACACAAAGTGATGAGCATCGCCGTCAGTCCCCTCCTCCCCCCAACACTGCCTCACCGCAGGGCGGCCGCCAGGGGGCGCTCCCCCCCTCCCCAACACTGCCTCACCGCAGGGCGGCCGCCAGGGGGCGCTCCCCCCCCCTCCCCAACACTGCCTCACCGCAGGGCGGCCGCCAGGGGGCGCTCCCCCCCTCCCCCAACACTGCCTCACCGCAGGCGGCCGCCAGGGGCGCTCCCCCCAACACTGCCTCACCGCAGGGCGGCCGCCAGGGGCGCTCCCCCCCCCCTCCCCCAACACTGCTCACCGCAGGGCGGCCGCCAGGGGGCGCTCCCCCCCTCCCCCAAACTGCCTCACCGCAGGGCGGCCGCCAGGGGGCGCTCCCCCCCCCTCCCCAATACACTGCAATCCCCTCCTCCCCCAAACACTGCAATCCCCCCCCCAATACACTGCAATCCCCTCCCCCCATACACTGCAATCCCCCCCAATACACTGCAATCCTCCCCCCAATACACTGCAATCCCCCCCCAATACACTGCAATCCCCCCCCATACACTGCAATCCCCCCCAATACACTGCAATCCCCCCCCCAATACACTGCAATCCTCCCCCAATACACTGCAATCCCCCCCATACACTGCAATCCCACCCCCCAATACACTGCAATCCCTCCCCCAATACACTGCAATCCCCCCCCCAATACACTGCAATCCCCCCCCCATACACTGCAATCCCCCCCCCCAATACACTGCAATCCTCCCCCCCAATACACTGCAATCCCTCCCCCCAATACACTGCAATCCTCCCCCAAAACTGCAATCCCTCCCCCCCAATACACTGCAATCCTCCCCCCAATACACTGCATTCCTCCCCCCCCCATACACTGCAATCCTCCCCCCCAATACACTGCAATCCCCCCCAATACACTGCAATCCCCCCCATACACTGCAATCCCCCCCCCCAATACACTGCAATCCTCCTCCCCCAATACACTGCAATCCTCCCCCCCAATACACTGCAATCCCCCCCCAATACACTGCAATCCTCCCCCAAAACACTGCAATCCTCCCCCCCAATACACTGCAATCCCCCCCCAATACACTGCAATCCTCCCCCAATACACTGCAATCCCTCCCCCCCCAATACACTGCAATCCCCCCCAATACACTGCAATCCTCCCCCCAATACACTGCAATCCTCCCCCCAATACACTGCAATCCTCCCCCAATACACTGCAATCCCCCCCCAATACACTGCAATCCTCCCCCAATACACTGCAATCCTCCCCCCCATACACTGCAATCCTCCCCCCCCCCATACACTGCAATCCCCCCCCAATACACTGCAATCCTCCCCCCAATACACTGCAATCCCCCCCCCAATACACTGCAATCCCTCCTCCCCCAATACACTGCAATCCTCCCTCCAATACACTGCAATCCCCCCCAATACACTGCAATCCCCCCCCAATACACTGCAATCCCCCCCCAATACACTGCAATCCCCCCCCAATACATTACACTGCAATCCTACCCTCCCCCAATACACTGCAATCCCCCCCCAATACACTGCAATCCCCCAATACACTGCAATCCCCCCCCAATACACTGCAATCCCCCCCCAATACACTGCAATCCCCCCCCCCAATACACTGCAATCCCCCCCAATACACTGCAATCCTCCCCCCCAATACACTGCAATCCCCCCCAATACATTCACTGCAATCCCCCCCCAATACACTGCAATCCCCCCCCTACACTGCAATCCTACCCCCCCCCAATACATTACACTGCAATCCTACCCCTCCCCCAATACATTACAACCCCAATCCCCAATTATTATTATTATTATTAATCCCCAATTACAATCAAACCCCCAAATACATTACATTACAATCAAACCCAAACCCCGAATACAGTCAGTAAATCAAATACAACCATTAATATTATGATTAATATTATTATTGTTAATAATAGTGTTTGTTATTATTGTTATTGCTCTTCTTAATATTATTATTACTACTGTTATTGCGATTGTTAAAATTATTGATATTATTATTAATATCGATTATTATTAATAATAATTTTAACAATCGCAATAACAGTAGTAATAATAATAATATCAATGATAGCAATAACAATGACAATACATAATATCATTGACAATAATAAATAATATTGAACGCGGCAGCCAATTGCGCACAGCGGCGTCCCACAAACAGTCATGGATTGAGTGACTTTTAAAAGGGATTATTACCACTGGAAAACGATCCGCCAATTGACTAACCACCGGGTTCCTATTTACTGCTAGTTAAAGAGAGGCGTGTGGAGTAAGGAAACTATCCTATGGTTTCGTCCTGCTTGGGGAATCGAACCCGGGTCCTCTCGCTTGCGAGTCGAGTGCCTCTAACCACTACGCGACAGGACTCCTCTATTGACACAATCTCGCTAACCTCTAGGCAAGAGACGTTTAAATGAGCTTTGCTTTGCGTGTGATCTTCCAGGCTGTATCTGCCCAGATCCAAAGCAGATGAATACCTGCGAGGAATGGGAGAGAGAGTGTTGGCCAGCTTCCCTGTGCAAGCCACCATGCATTTCTACAACGACGATTCCGACACCGGAGAGGAGGAGGAGGAGGAGGACGAGGAGCAGGGAGCCTGACCGTTCCCCGGAAACAAGCGAGGTGTTTTGGAAACACAGAGGGCAGTCAGGGGAGGAGGAGAAGATGATGGATCAGCTTCACAGTGGAGAGGCTGCCTTGGGAAATTGATACCTAACATCCGTCCATCCGCTTTAACTGATGTGTGCACCGCTCCTTGGTTGAACCTCTCTCTCTGTGACACCTGAAATTCCACCCCGGCTGAAACCCGTACAGGCCAACTTGCCTTTAACAACGGAAGCTTTTTAACAAAAAATGTCCCACAAACAGCCATGAAGCGAGCGACCAATTTTATTCGGGCGGAGAAATTATTGTCACCCAGGACACCGGCAGAGAGAGAAACTCCCTTTATATTTCTTTAAAGCATTTCGCCCACAAAATACACAGTCCATTTCATTTGACAGTACATTCTTTGAAGCGCTTTGAGACGTCTCTACGACGTGATAAGACGCTATATCTAATGCAAGGATTATTATTAATATTAACTCAGCTTCAAAATTAAGGCTGTATTCAGGAATTTTCCAAACAACGGACCCTCCGAAACACTACATAAATAGAGTAAGTCCAGAGTGTAATGTCTCTACGAAAAGTTTCCACAGGCTAAAACTAGGTGGAATTTCAGGCCTCTGCCATATAACAGGTGAAATTAGTCATTTGCATCTGAATGGCCGCTGTCTTGCACTGTTGTGTTGTGTGTGTCTGTGTGGATATATAAATATATTTTGTACATTTATTTTATTACTGGAAGAAGGTTTTTTGCTGATAAAAAAAATAAAACCGTTCGTTTCACGTTGAGCAAGTCTCGATACAATAAACCTCTGATTCCGCTCTCATGCAGTGAGTCACGTGTGTCAGCCTGGCGCAATGGTTAGCGCTCTCGCCTCATGAGTCAGAAGGTTGTGAGTTCACGCCCCACATCAGGACTGACACTCCAATGCAGTGCTGGGTGGGGGGGTGCATTGCCAGAGGTGCCGGCCTTTGGACGAGACGTTAAACCAAGGTCCCGTCTGCCTGCTCGAGTGGACGTTAAAGATCCTGTGTGTCCTGTGAAGCACTTTGAGACATTATTATAAACGTTTATTGAGCTCCACTGACACCAAACACCCCATCTCCTCCGACCATTTGCTATTTGTGCTCAGCTTTAACGGGTCACGTTCATTAATAATCCCGGACTTCCCCGAGCTCTGCACTGATGCAGAAATTCCAGCCAGGGCTTGCGGACGCCCACCATGCCCCACCCCCAGTTGTGAAGGGATCAGAGAGAGTGCGGGTCTCCAGTGTGGCTTCTCTCTTCCGTCTCGGAGTCACTGGGGCGAGGAAGTGAAGGTTGACTCACCATCAGTAGTGTAGCTGTTTATCTCGCTCTGACAGTGATTGATGTCTGTGAGAGTCACTATACGCCACTGAGATCGGACTCCTGTCAAGAGCCAAAAGCAAATTGGCTCCAGGATCCAGGCAAACAAAGGCGTGTGTGTATATTAATAACATCCAGGTCAATACACTGGAACCAGACATTGCTTCATATACTGTCTCCAACGTATTGGGTGTCAGCTTGGCTCGGTTGGTAGCAATCTCTCCTCTGGGTCAGAAGGTTGTTGGTAGCTCTATCCTCCTTAAGGAGGAGGTGAGCGGGGTCTCCTTGGAGCTGAACTAGCTCCAAGGTAACAAGTTTGGCGACGTAATATCCTCCGTGACTCTCTGTGGCGGTCTCTAGTCCGGTTCCTGAGTCAGGCGAGTCCGCAGTATTCCAGGGCACTGTTGATGACAGCACAGCCCCAGCCCGGCTCATGGGCAGGATTTTGGAAGGTCACCAGGGGCAGGGAGTCCTCCCACTCAGCTCCTGTTAGCGCTTTGGGACGTGCTCACGACTTGAAAGGCGCTAAACAAATATAATTTGTTGTTGTTGTTAACCCTACAAGCCAAAGCCCTAACAGGTAGGGTGGTGCTGGCTGGATAAACAGCGGAAAAGCTCGTCAGACAGCGCTCTCAATGGCAAGCTATGTGGTTTTAGCCGGTTAGACTCCAGCAGTTACTCCAACGCATACTCTGGGGTCCCCCAAGCCTTGGTTCTTGCCAACCTACACATTATACTTTCCAGAATTAGGTAAACGGGATGTGTCCCTCCAGGGAGAGAGTGTGCATTCCATGCCAGCAATCTATCTCTGGGATTTCCATGTGTAGATAGGATGCATAGAATTCTCAGTTTGGTTTGAAGACACCGTTTAAGCACAGTGATGGGTTTCCGCACGTGGCTGACCAGCCAAGAATGAGTAGTTCCCAAACTCCCAGTCTCTAGGCTTGCTCCGATGCAGTATTTGGGAAGGGATTTGCAGTGTAGATCTTTTTCAGCTGGACCTTTTATAATAATAATAATCCTTATACTTGATACAACACTTTCACATTGGGAGGATGTCTCAAAGCACTTCACAGGATTAACTGTAAAGTGACCGTGTATTTTGTAGATGAACATGGCAGCTGATTTGCACACAGTCAATGTCCCAACAAACAGCCATGAAGTGAATGACGGATTTTATCTGAGGGATTGTCAGCCAGGACACTTGGGAGAGTGAAACTCCTTTCTTTTTGCAAGTCGTGACACGAGATCTTTAACGTCCACCTGAACAGCTAGATGGTTTAACGTCTCATCTGATGGACGGCATCTCTGACAATGTAACGGCCCCACTCCCCCACCCGCCAGCCCCGAGTTGCACTAACAACATTTAATATGATTTACGCGAAGTCTGAGTTGCAGACAAACTGTATGAATCAATAATCTACACTGCCAATGTGTCATTTAATGCAGCCGGTAAGTAAGCACCCGGTGACGGGTCAAGACTACGTGTCACTGCACACTTACTGGCGAGTGTTGGCATCGCATTGAATCGCGAGAAACTAAGTTCTCCTGCACATGCGTCGACAGATCGAGACCATGTTTCCCGTGACTCAAAGCAGACGGTAAGTACGGGAGTAATGCAGGGCAGGGGAGAGCGATGTGCCGAGCCAGGAGATGATTAATTCGAGTAGTCACGATTTACGTTACGTCGTCGAGCCAAGAAATCTAAGCGGTTTTGACAGGAATCTGAATGGGACTCTGGTGGACGTACAATTTAGGCATGAATTTTATTGTATTAGAATAAATGGTTGGTCTCGGGCTGGGGAAGAAGGAAGGTTTATACCTTTCAATCCTGAGCCAGGTAAGTGCAGAAGTTTACGTGGAGGAACCATATGCTGGTGACAAGCCCACGACCTGTGATCAAAGACCGGGAAGAGGTGAGGCTGAGGGCAAGTTTAGGAATCAGCCCCTGACAGACCGATGCGTAGAAAGGGATGGACATCTGATCTGGATTCAGTTTACATTAGACTAACTGAGTAAATCATTACACTGGGGACCCAGCCAAGCAGGGCCGGGTGATGGAAGCCCTAGTTTATTTTACTGCGTTATCTACAAGGGGTGATGACAAGAGGGCCAAAGCCACTGAATTGTCTGGGCTCTGTGTAAACTACAGCAGGCCAGGCCGAGGTGAAATTTCTCCGCTTTAAGTAGGAGCACGCTGATTGAAAACCGCGTGGTGAAAACCGCTCTGATAAACATCACCAGGCTGTTTCACTTGCACCCCTGAGGCCACGGAGGTCACGAAGCTATGTGCAAGTCAGCATTTATGTCAGTGCCCAATCCCCACCCCCCCCCCCCCCACCCGCCCGCCCGAGGCCATAGCAATCTTGCTCGGCTTAATTAATTAAAGATTTTTCAGCCAGATGTCTCCCATCACCGCACGCTTACATGTGTCCAAACTTTGTGGAGTTCTGTAGCGTATTGGTTACAGCACTCTCCTCGCGAGTGAGAAGATCCGGGTTCGATTCCCAAGCAAGGTGAAACCTTAGGCAAGTTTCGTTACTCCGCACGCCTCGGTTTACCTAGCAGTTAACTGCTGTTAGTCGATTGGGGCATGGCTTTCTGAGGGTGATAATCCCTATATATAAAATAATAAGAAGAATTTGGTCACTCAATCCACGACTATTTGTGGGACAGTCGTGCGCATTTCGCTCACAAAAATATACAGTCAATCCACTTTGAGGAGTCTTGAGCACGTGATAAGGCGCTACATCAAATGCAAGGATTATTATTATTATTATTTTGTGTGATGTGTTGGGTGGGGTGGTAGTTTCTATTGCACATTTATCTTTTTCTCCCCCCAAGCCCTGGCCAACTTTATTGCCCGGTCTTTAGGATCTATTACAAACCTCACTCATCGTCTCACCCCAGTGTGCTGATAACAAACTTGCGAGGCATGGTCTCTGTGGCAGGGTTTAAGCAGACACTACAGGCTGATTGATAGTCAAACATGACCTCTTGACCATAAGGAATGCAAATCGACACCAATGCTAACTTGGCATCAAACAGGAGTTACGAATTTCTTTGTGGTGCAAGGTTTCCCTTATTTTAGACCCAGGTTTGATAATACTGATAAGCTTTTGCTCATAAAATGTTGTACCTGTGAGTTTTCTTCCACTGGTCACTTTTTATCACAATAATAATCCTTGTATTTGATATAGTTAGAGCCTCATCACATTGTTGAGATGTCTCAAAACGCTTCACAGAATATATTGGATAAAGTATATTTTGTGAGCAAAACACGGCAGCCAATTGCACACAGCAGTAATCGACAAACAGTTGTGGATTGAGTGACTGTAGCATTGGGAACTGATCCAAACATGGGATACAAAGTGCGGAAAGGCCCAGACACCTGATGCAAGTATTATTATTAAATCACTCATTATTTGATCATCATAAATCCTTGCATTTGGTATAGCACCTTTCACATCAGGATGTCTCAAAGCGCTTCACAGAATTACTGTGAAGTGGTACGACTGAGTATTTGTGGACAAACATAGCAGTCAATTTGCGCACAATAATGTCCCACAAACAGCCGTGAAGTGAATAACCAATTTTATTTTGGGGTTTGTTGGCCAGGACACTGAGAGGAACTCCTTCCTCTTGGCAACAGTGCCATGGGATCTTTAACGACCACCTAAACAGGCAGAATAGTACGTATAATACTAAAGTGCTTCACAGAATATACTGTAAAGTGCATTGACTGTGTACTTTGAGGGCGCAAAGTGTCAACCAATTGCACACAGCAGTGTCCCACAAACAGTTGTGGATTGAGTGACCAAATTATTATTTTTAAAACATTTTTTAAAAAAAGGATTATTACCCCAAGAGAGCGTTCCGGTCCGCCAATCTACTAACAACCAGGTTCCTACTTACTGCTGGGTAAACGGAGGAGTATGGAGTAAGGAAACTTGCCTAATGTTTCGCCCTGCCCGGGAATCGCTTTCAAGACGAGTGCGCTAACCAATACACTACAGGACTCCACCAGGTCTCATCGGAAACACGGCACCTCTGACAATGCAGCATTCCCCAACAAGTGTCAGGTTAGACTACACGAGTTCATGTCCCGACGTGGGGCTTGAACCCACAATCTTCGACTCAAGAGGCTGACACACATATTTCACTAATGTCCTTATTGAACAAGATTTGAAGCAACGAACCATTTTCACACATGTCAAGCTTTTCTTGTTGCAATAAAACTGGATTCCAATATGCTACAATCAATTCTACCGGTTCTCGTTTTTACAAGAGCCAAAATGCAGGAATTAACCGGGAGAAATTCCGGTGAGCAATGAGGTGACGTGTGATTTTAATGGGAAATCCCATTCGTGGACGACATTGTGTAATGCTCGAAAAACATTTTCCAGCGTGAACTTTCAACAATAAATTCAATCATTGTCTCTAACACAGTACTTGACCACAACAGTCAGCTCACCACTATGCAACAGGACTCCACAAATGTCCAGATATGGAATGCAACCAGCCTAAAGGATAGAGTAGCAGGATCACTTGGATAATTTGTTGTTTACCTTTGATTCCCTTTTGGATTCGGGCAGAAACATCGTTGGTGGGTTTTTTTTTGTTAAGGTTTTCTTTTGTTAAGGTTTTCCCTGTTTTCGCCTCCCTTATAAAGGAAGCAAGAGTGAGGACTGGGCTGAAGTCAATCAAAACAGAATCTTTCTGTGCTCCACATCCAGCATTTTGAGGCTTAATAATAATAATCCTTGCATTTGATTGCGACGCCTCAAAGCTCTTCACAGAATTATCCTGTGAAGTGGATTGACTGTATTTTGTGGGAGAAATACGACAGACAATTGTCAAACAGCAAACAGCAGTGTCCCACAAACAGTCGTGGATTGAGTGAACAAATTATACTTTTTTTTAAGTGATTATAACCTCCATAAAACAATCCGCCAATCAACTAACAACCGGGTTCCTGATTACTGCTACATAAACAGAGGCGTGTGGAGTAAGGAAACTTGCTTAAGATTTCACCCCGCCCGGGAAACAAACCTGGGTCATCTCACTTGCGAGGCGAGTGCTCTAACCACTACACTAGAGGACTCCACATATCCTGTTCTGTCGCACAATTTGCAAACTGTTTCTGTACATTTCAGAAAGAGAGACCGAAAGCAAAGCAAAGCAGGGAGTCATCTTGGCTCAGTTGGTAGCACTCTCACTCCTGCATCAAAAGGTTAAGAGTTTGATCCCCACACACCGTGAACTCATTAACCAAGCAGACACTCTGCTGGGATACTGAGGGAGTGTTCATGCCCCAGTGAAATAATAATCCTTGCATTTGATACAGCGCCTTATCACATCGAGATGTCTCAAAGCGCTTCACAGAATTATCCTGTAAAGTGGATTTACTGTGTATTTTGTGGGCGAAACGTGGCAGCCAACTGGGCACAGCAGCGTTCCACAAACAGTGGTGGATTGAGTGACCATATTTTTTTTCCTCTCGTGTGCTCTCGGGTGTTTTTTTGAGTTGCTCTCTCGGGTGAGACATTAAACTGAGGTCGCGTTTGCTTGTTCTGACGATTCAGGTCTCAGTTAAAATAATCTTTACGCTTGATGCAGCGCCTGCCACAGTGAAAATCTCAAAGCACTTCACAGGATCCATTGTAAAATGCCTAGCGTACAGTAAAACTCACACGAGTCACATCAGTCGGGACTGTATCATTTAATACGACCGAACCAAAGTGTGAGTTGCAGCCAACCACTGTATAAGTCATAGAAAATCCAATTTCATCAGTAAACTACACTGCGCTTGTGCAATTCATTGCAGCCGGTAAGTACGCATGCGGTGACCGGTTAAGACTACATTTCCCCCGATTCAATGCATTTTGACCCTTCACCACGTGCAGACTTACCAGCAAGCAGTGGAATCGCATTGAATCGCGGGAAATGACATTCTTCTGCGCGTGCGTCAACGGATCAAGACTATGTTTCCCGCAATTCAAGGCCTCCATTAAGCGCGGGAGTAATGGTGGGTAGGGGAGCAGTGTTACGACTTAGATGATTAATGCGAGTAGTGCAAAGAAATCTAAGTGGGTTTGATAGGAAACTATTTGATAGAAATACAATTCATACACGATTCGTGCGAGTTTTACTGTACTTGTTGGGTAACGGGGCAGACAATTTGCACACAGCAAAATGTTCCACAAACAGCCACAAAGCGACTGATTTTTACCGGTGGGAGATCTCAAGGGGATTTTGCATACAGGCAGGGAAGTTCGCTTGTTGTCCGGGTTAACATCGCTCCCTCCCTCCCTCCCTCCCTCGTTCAACATTCCCCAAAAAGATTACATCTTTGGTAAACGTGCTGGGAGGTGAGACTTTGCTGGCGGCAGATTAGCTGCAGTGTTTACCTAGAGCCGCCTTTGCGAACGCGCCCTTGAAAAGCAGTTCATTGTGTGTGAGTTCATCAAACTCACACACACTTTGAGGTCCTCAAGCCTTGGCTCTTGCCAACCTGCGCCTAATACTTTACCGGAATTAGGTGAGCGGGATGTGTCCCTCCAGGGAGAGAGTGCCCATTCTATCCCAACAGTCTATCTCTGGGGTTTCCATGTGTAGGTGAGATACAAGGAATTCTCAAGTTTAGTTGGATACTCTTAAGCTCGGTGATGGGTTTTTATGGGTGTCTCAGACACCCGGCTGAACAAAATAAAAAATATCAAATTGAACTATTCCAGAAACAGGTTTCAGTGTTCAGCCTTCATGCACTCTGCCCCCAACCTCTGGAATTCCATCCCCCAATCACTCCGCCTCGCCCCCTCCTTAGCCTCCTTCAAGTCCCTTCCCCTCCCCTCCCTCCCACCCTGACCCCAGCATCAAATCTCGATCTGCAGGCCAAGAATGGCAATCGAGCTAATCTATATTCCTAGCAGCCGTCGAACACCACACGTCACCCTGATCACCAGCCGACTCGCTTGGCGTAGAGAGGAAGAACATTTGATTAACCTCGCTGATAGAGACGTCCTCAAAGCCAGGGATCGCTCCTTTCACATATGGTTTCCTCTGCTGGTTCATTGCGTAGTTATCTGAAGAGAAAGGAAATGCATTGAGATTCCATAATACAGTAAACAATTATGTATTATTTTATTTATTAAGTTAAACTATTTTAATACATAATTCTCAAGAGTTTCAGACCTAATATTCATAAGACTATGTCCATGAGAAATTTTAAGCCCTAAGCGACTTCAGAAAAAAGCAAGAATCTATGCAGTGTAAACGGTTTTCCCAATATTGTGATAGAAATCTTATTGTTACAGCAAATATTTTCTTAAATGCCAACGATTCCTCCCCTGCAAGGAATTCGGGTAAAGTTAATACTTTGGGTTATGTTCCTGATGAGGATTCCTATTCAACCTACATGATAAAGTTTTTGATTAAAAAAATTTTTAATTTGAAAAAAATAATTTGGTCGCTCAATCCATGACTGTTTGTGGGACACTGCTGTGCGCAATTGACTGCCGCGTTTCACCCCAAAATATAGTCAATTCATTTTACAGTATAACCTGCAAAGTGCTTTGAAACGTCTCGAAGACTTGATAATGCGCTATATCAAATGCAAGGATTATTATTATATTATTATTGTGAACAAAATGCAAAAACTGCTGATGCTGGCAATCTGAAATAAAGGCAGAAGTTGCTGGGAACACACAGCAGGTCAGGCAAAATCTACGGAGAGAGGAAAGTTGAGTTTAATTCACTTTCCTCTCTCCATAGATGCTGCCTGACCTGCTGCGACTTCCCAGCGACTTCCGTTTTTATAACATTATTGCAGTGCTGGTTCTGTGGTCCAATAAAATTGGACGACAACTTGCATTGATACAAAGCCCTTCAATGTTTGGCAATATCTTAGGAATGCTTTACAGGACACCCAGCAACAGAGAGGGGATAAGGAGCTGGCTGTAAGCGCGCTCAAAGAGTTAGGATTTGTCAATAACATTAAAAGTCCAATATCATTTTTCACGACGGGTCTCGGTTCATCTCACGACGATCACCAGAAAGGAACGATTTAAAGAGTAAGTCATATTAAATGTGATGGTCCCGACTGAAATAACTTATGTAAGTTTAACTGTATTCGATTAAATTGCTCCCCAATGACACCTCGACCGTGGCCAATGTTGTTCAGTGTGTCAGGAGGAGCTCCCTCCAGTCCCGGCTCACCTGTGATGTTGTCCACGGAGCCCAGTGGGGCCGTACTCATCATGTTGATCCCACACAGTAACATGTAAGCAATGACGATAACAACGAGGAGATAGATGGGCAAAGCCACAGCCCAGTACCTGCAGAAAACATCAGCAACACACCCATTAAATCAGAACAGTGCTAAGCAATAATAATCTTTGGATTCGATACAGCGCCTCATCACGTCGTTGAGACGTCTCAAAGCGCTTCATAGAATGTATTGTAAAGTGGATTGACTGTATTTTGTGGGCGAAACGCGACAGCCAATTGGGCACAGCAGAGTCCCCACAAACAGTCGCGGACTGAATGGCCAAATTCCTTTTTATATATATATGGAAATGAATACACGCCAGAAAGCGATCAACCAATTGACTAACAACCAGGTTCCTGCTTACTGCAATGTAAACAGAGTCATGCGGAGTGAGGAAACTTGCCTAAGGTTTCACGTCGCTTGGTAATCAAACCCGGGTCCTCTCGCTTGCGAGGCGATTGCTCTAACTACTACACTACAGGACCCCCACAGTCCAGTTAGGCTATACATATGCCACGCTGGATAACTCGTGACTGAGCCCTCATCCCTCGGAGCGATCAATTATCAGGATTTACTAATCACTCCAATATCACACAGTGACCAGCTCCTGGAACCTGCTATGCAACCGATCAACAGTTACTTTCATGCGGTACTTACTTTTGCGGCCAGTAAGTGAGTCCCACGGAGTGCAGCCAAGGCTCGGGAACATAAGCCCACACGAGATACAGGACTGGTCAACGGAAAGGTGAGACATTCAGATCATCAGAATAAGAACACATCTCAGTTACGCTCTCCCGGCATTGAATAATCTGATATCCCCCCTGAATTTAAATAAAAGTAAATTCCCGATAACTCGACCCTTGGCTTAACTGAGTTCGGTTGACACTGGAGACCAAGAACGTAAAAGCACCGAAGCAGGCCATTCAGCCAAGCTAGTTTGTGCTGGTATTTAGACTCCGCACTCAACCCCAACTCACCCCCTCTCCCACACTTCTCTCTATCCCCTTCTGCCCAGGAGGTTGAGTTTGCATAGGACCAGGAGTAGGCCATTCAGCCCCTCGAGGCTGATCTGCCATTCTACTAGATCATGGCTGATCCGTACCTCAACTCCATTTCCCTGCGGTTGCCTCATATCCCTCGATACCTTGACCTGACAAACATCTGTCCAGCTCAGTATTGGAAACTTGAATGGATCCAACACCCGCAGCCATTTGGGGGAGAGAGTTCCAGATTCCCACTCGCCTTTGTGTGAAAAACCGCCTCCTGATCTGACTCCGGTTCTGGATCCCCCCACCACAGGAAATAGTTTCTCGGTATCTACCCTATCGAACCGCTTTATCGTCTTAAAACACCTCAATCGGATCCACCCTCAACCTCCCAAACTCGTGGGAATACAGACCAAGTCTATGCGACCTGACGCTCGTAATTTAACCCACAAAGCCCTGGTATCATTCTGTGCTGTGAATCTGTTCTGCACCCCCTCCGGGTCACGCGGGGTCACTTACTGAATCCAAACCACGAGCCGAGGTATAGGACAAAACCGTAAATAGCCCTTTCAGGTAAGGGGGACGGGGAGTTGGACACCATTGTTCGCCTCTGAGAGAGAAAGCACACCATCAGCTGCCACGATTTGCGTACAGAAATGCTGTGCCTGACCAATGCCTTTCACTTGCCCCCCCCCCCTTGTTACTAGCCCCCCTCCATCATTAGCCCTCCAGTCACCAGCTCCCCCCCCTCCCCTAGCCCCCCCGGACACCAGCCCCCCGCCCGCCGGTCACCAGCCCCCCGCCCCCCGGTCACCAGCCCCCCGCTCCCGGTCACCAGCCCCCCGCCCCCCGGTCACCAGCCCCCCGCCCCCCGGTCACCAGCCCCCCCAGTCACCAGTCCCCCGGTCACAAGCTCCCCCCCCTCCCCTAGCCCCCCTGGTCACCAGCCCCCCGCTCCCGGTCACCAGTCCCCCAGTCACTAGCCCCCCCCCCAGTCACCAGCCCCCCGGTCACTAGCCGCCCCCCCCCCCAGTCACCAGCCCCCCCCCCCCCCCCCCCGGTCACTAGCCCCCCCCCCGGTCACCAGCCCCCCCCCCCCCCAGTCACAAGCCCCCCGCCCCCCCCGGTCACCAGCCCCCGCCCCTCAGCCCCCCCCCCCCCCGGTCACTTGCCCCCCCCCCAGTCACCAGCCCACCCCCCCCCCCCCCCGGTCACTTGCCCCCCCCCAGTCACCAGCCCACCCCCCCCCGGTCACTAGCCCCCCCCCCCCCGGTCACCAGCCCCCCGCCCGGTCACCAGCCCCCCGCCCCCCCCGTCACCAGCCCCCCGGTCACCAGTCCCCCCGCCCCCCGGTCACTTGCCCCCCCCCCCCCCGCGGCTTCTCTCTCTGACCAGAGGCTTCCGGTGCCTTTGCCCCGCACAAAGATGGCAGTGCCGGCACTTCCGGTTCCGCGGGCGGCGGCGGCGGCGGGGGGCGGGGGCAAAGGCGAGCATGCGCAGTGAGGTACCAGCGGGAGGTTGAGAGCAGCGGCCCCAATGGGACTGAATGCGATTGCCGCCACCTACCGGCCGCCTGGCGGTACTGCAGGGGTAGCTGAGTTGGGTGGGCATTGTGTTGGGTTGGTACCTGACCCAAAAAAAAGGCTTGTGGGGTGGGTGGGGGGGAAGGGGCTGTGGCTGCCTAGTTTCCCCTCCTTACACACCCCCCCACCCCCAAAAAAAAGTTTTAAATGTATACAGTATCTTGCGCAGTTTCAGAAGCAACAACAACAACAACAACTCGCACTCACGTCGAGCCCTCCGCGCGGGGCAGCGTCTCGGAGCGCTTAACAGTGGCGGAGACCCATTCCGAGCCTGGGAGGGGGTGGGGGGTTGGGGGGGGGGCTGTAAACATGGTCGAAGAGGAAAGTTTTTAGGGCGAGATTTGAAAGAGGGGAGAGAGCAGGGGCAAGGCGGGGGGATTGGATTGGGGGAGAGTGTTCCAGAGTTTCAGGGCGTAGCGAGGGGGGCCACGGGTCATATTGGGCTAATTTGGGGCTAGTATTTGGTTGAGTTTGGGGGTACAAATTATTTTCATTTCAGGCCACCACACCCTGATTTCAGGCCACCACACCCTGATTTCAGGCCACCACACCCTGATTTCGGGGAGCGGAGGTGTATCAGTGGTGGGGGGGGGGAATTGCAGGAATAGGAGACGGTGAAGATGCTCAGAATGGTGGTGAGGGCGTTGGCGTTTGTGCAGGAGGGTGACAGACGAAATAAAGTCAAGGCAGGAATTCAGAGGACTCGAGATCAGTGGAGAAGGGATGAAGACCACAACAATATTACATTTGTATAGCGCCTTTCACATCGGGAGGACGTCCCAAGGCTCTGGACAGTCAAAAGTTTTGAACCCAAGCTGGGGATTGGGGAGGATGGAGGGCAGTGGGGGAAGCGGGTTGATTGAAAGCGCAGTCGAAGAGGAGGGTCTTGAGATGGGGCTTGAAGGAGGCAAGGGAGGTGCGAGGTGGATGGACTGCAGGATGGAGTTCCAGAAGGTGGGGGCAGAGTGGCAGAAGTCCCAACCCCAATGGTGGGGGGGTGGGGGCGAGGGACGTGGGACGTGAAGCAAGTCAGAGCTCGCTGAGTGGAGGGAGCGAACAGGATGGTAGGGGGTTAGGAGATCGCAGAGGTAGGGGGTTGGGGGGGGGAGCAAGACCACGGAGGGCTTTGAAGGTGAGGCCCAGGATAATGAACTGTATCCACTGTGTGATGGGGAGCCGGTGGAGTCGGGCGAGGATGGGGTTGAGAGGCTGGTGCGGGAGAGGACACGGGCTGCAGAGTCTGGATGACCTGCAGCCTATGGAGGCGGGCGTTGGGGAGGGCGACGAGCCAGGAGGAGGGGAGGCGCCGCGCGCTCACCGTGGCACTAAAGGACTCCGTAACAAAGTGGGTGGATTTTAAACTACATTCCATAGAATGCCTCTCCTACCGGCTGTTCTGACACAGTTGTACAATTTGTTGACGGCTCCCGTTACTGAGGGCAACCGGTCTGATCGCAGCGTTGAGGCTGTTTGGGGTTGCTGAAAGCCGCAGGAAATCCGCCCCCCCCCCCTCACCTTCTCTCTCTGAAACCATGTCCAGGGTTCAAGTGTACGTCTCCTATATAACTGGATCGAGACAGGTAAGTCATAATAATAATAATAATCCTTGCATTTGATGTGGCGCTTTATCACGTCCATGGGACGTCTCCAAGCGCTTCGCAGAAATATACTGTGAAGTGGATTGACTGTGTTTCGTGGGCGCATGTTCCTCGATTTGGAGAATATCGGAAGGCCCAACGACTACCAAGTAAGATCATCAATAATAGTAATAATCGTTGCGTTTGCTAATAGGGCCTTATCGCATCATTGAGTCATATCAAAGCATTTCGCAGATTGTATGTAAGGTGTCTTAAAGTGGCAAGTCTCAGCTTTGAGCACTGTGATGGGATGGCGGGTAGGTAGGTCGCTTAAAACTGAGCGTAGGGATCGCCTTGTGGTTCAGTGAGTAACTGCACCACCGTGATGTGTTGCTGGTCAGAAGGTAATAATAATAATAATCCTTGCGTTTGAATACAGCGTCTCATCACGTCTTCGAGACGGCTCAAAGCGCTTCACAGACCACGCTGTTAAGTAACTTGGCTTTATATTCAGTGGGCGAAACGCGGCAGGCAATTGAGCCCGGCAGTGCAGCACAAACAGTCGTGGACTAAAACCTTTTGAAAGCGCTTTCGAGACGTCCTCCCGACGTGATGTCAAATCTAAGGCTTGTTATTGTTAGATTCTCCTCTGCGTCTAGATCAAGTCTCGACAGTCGGAGGTGGAGAGGGTGCTGGACGTGAAGAAGATCAGGTACGATTGTGTGGATATCTCAGCCAGTGAGACGCTGCTGGAAGAAATGAGAACCAGGACGGGCAACCCCAAAGCTCTCCCTCCACAAATCTTCAATGATGACGTGTACTGTGGGGTAAGGCTTCCGTTTGCAGGTCATCTCTCCGGCCTACTGAATAATAACAATCCTTGCGTTTGCCACATCGCCTTATCATGTCTCAAAGCACTTCACAGAATATGCTGTAAAGTGAATTGACTGTATATTTTTTGGGCAAAACGCAGCAGCCAATTGCACACAGCAGCGTCCGACAAACAGTCGTGGATTGAGTGACCAAATTATATATTTTTTGGAAGGGTTTATGACACCCGAAAAGCGATCTGCCAATCGACTAACACTGCAGTTTCCTGCTTACTGCTAGCACTGCTTGCTACAAGCGCTCTGAGACACTACCCTGCACGAGCGGAACTATATAAATTCAAGTTGCTGTCATTATTACTGCTAGGTAAACAGAGGTGCGTGGAGCAACGAAATTTGCCTAAGGTTTCGTCCCGCCTGGGAATCGAACCCAGGTCCTCTCGCTTGCGAGGCGAGCGCTCTAGCCACTGCGCTATGGGACTCCAATGATTGGACAAGCAACGATATTGGGGGGGAGGGGGAGACCTTATTAATTTAATTTGCGCAAATTCACGGCTTTCAAAGCGACGAGCTTCACGCAACACACTGTTTGTCTCGCCACAAATCTCCGCAGGATTACCAGAACTTCCAGGACGCTGTGGAGAACGAGGAGCTCAATCAGTTTCTAAGGCAGAAAGAGATGAGGAACCTCAACGAGGCTCAGATGAAGCACATCGACGTGAATTAGACCTGCTGAACAACAATCCCGGCGCCAACACCCCAAACAATCGCCAGCTCGTTGGTTTTCGTTTGCCCTTTGCCACCGAGCCTCAGTGTAATAAACATAAATCAAATCATTTATAATAATAATCCTCGCATTTGCTATGGCACTTTTCACTCTGTGAGAATGTTTCAAAGCACTTCACAGGTTATACTGTAAAGTGCAGCGACTGTGTAGTTTTGTGGGAGAAACGCAGCAGCAAATTTTCACACATCAATGTCCCACTAACATCCATGGTGAACAATTTTATTTGGGGGACTGTCATTTTAAATCGGTGTCCTCGGGTTACTGACCCTCTTTTCCAATTGCGCCTTGGGATCTTTAACATCCACCTCAACAGGCAGAGACAGGACCTCGGTTTCACAGAATCATAGAATTATACTCCCAAGGAGAATAATCCTAGCATCTCTCGCCTCTCCTGATAACTGAAGTCTCTCATTCCTGGAATCATCCTGGTCAATCTCCTTTGCATCCTCTCCAATGCCTTGGCATCCTTCCTAAAGTGTGGTGCCCAGAACTGAACACAGTCTCGAGCTGAGGCCTAACCAGTGTTTGATAATGGTGTATCATAACTTCCTGATTTTTGTATTCTATGCCCCTATTTATAAAGCCTAGTATCCCGTATGCCTTTTTAACCACTTTATCTACCTGTCCCGCCAGCTTCAAAGATTTACTTATATAAACCCTCAGGTCTCTCTACTCCTTCACCCCCTTTAAGATTGTACCATCGGCTTATATTGCCTCCGCTCATTCTTCCTCCCAAAAGGCATCACTTTGCATTTCTCCACATTAAACTTCATCTGCCACGTGTCTGTCCATGTTACCAGTCTGTCTGTATCTGTTTGCAGTTTGATACTATCCTCCTCACTGTTTACTATTTTTCCTAGCTTAATATTATCTGCAAACTTGGACATTGTACTCCCTATACCCAGGTCCAGGTCATAGATCAAAAGCAGCAGTGATCCCAATACTGACCTCTCGGGGACTCCACTGCACACTTCCCTTCAATCAGAAAAACACCACCACTCTCTGCTTTCCGTCTCCCAACCAGTTCTGTATCCACTGCCACTGTCCCTTTAATACCGTGGGCTTCTATTTTGCTTACAAGTCTCTTATGTGGCACTTTATCAAACGCCTTTTGAAAATCCATATAAACTACATCAACTGTACTACCTTCATCCACCTTCTCTGTTACTTCATCAAAAAACTTTATCAGGTTTGTTGGACATGATTTGCCTTTAACAAATCTGTGTCGGCCGTCCTTTATTAACCAATATTTTTGTAAGTGAATATTGATTTTGTCCTGGATTATAATCTCTAGAAGTTTCCCCACTACTGACTGACCTGTAGTTCCCAGGTTTAATCTTCTACCCCTTTTTGTACAGGGGAGTAACATTTGCAAACCTCCAGTCCCCTGGCACCACCCCAGTGTCCAAGGAGGACTGAAAGATTGTGACCAGAGCCTCCGTTATTTCCACCTTACTCCCTCAGTAACCTAGGATGCATCCTGTCCGGACCGAGTGACTTATCTATCTTGAGCACCTTCTTAGTACCTCCTCTCGGTTTATTCTTATCTTAACCAATTTCTCTACCCTCTCCTCCGATACTGTGGCATTGACTGCATTCTCTTCTTTTGTGAAGACAGATGCAAAATACTCATTCAATACATCAGCCATGCCCTCTGCCTCCACAAGAAGATTTCCTCTTTAGTCCCTAATTGGACCCACCCTACCTTTGACTAACCTTTTATTCCTTATATGCTTAGGATTCCCTTTTGTTACCCACTAATCTTTTTTCATACAATCTCTTTGCCCCTCTTATTTCCTTTTTCAGTTCTCCTCTGTACCTTCTATATTCTATTTGGTTATCTTCTATATCTTGGACCTGACATTTATCATAAGTCTCCTTTTTTTGTTTTATTTTAATCCCAATTTCCTTATTCATCCAGGGTGGTTTGGATGCCCTACCTTTCCCATTTGTGGGAATGTATTTGTTCTGTCCCCAAACTATCTCCTCCTTGAAGGCTTCCCATTGTTCGTTAGCTGGTTTAGCTGCCAATCTTTCTTTCTAGGCCACCTTGGCTACGTCTCTTATTAAATCACTGAAATTAGCCCTCTTCCAGTTGAGTATCTTCACCTTTCATCGTTCCTTGTCCCTTTCCATAAGTACTCTTAACCTAATGATGTTGCGATCACTGTTGTCCAGATGTTCTCCTACTGAAATCTGCTCCACTTCATTCCCCAGAACTATATCCAGCACTGCTTTCTTCCTCGTTGGACTGGAAACACACTGATCCAGAAAGTTATCCTGCACACATTTCAGGAATCCTTCCGCTTTACACTGTTATTTTGCCAGTCTATGTTAGGGTAATTGAAGTCCCCCATTATCACTACTCTATTGGTTTTGCATCTTTCCAAAACCTGCTTGAAGATGTTCTAGTCTATCTCCTTCCCACTATTTGGTGGTCTATACTATACACCCAACAGAGTAACAGCTCCCTTTCTGCTCCTTAACTCTAACCAAGTAGATTCTGTTTTTGGACCCTCCAGCACATCCTCCCTTTCCAGGGCCGTAACCGTGACTTTAATCAATATTGCCACCCCCACTCCATTTTTTTCCTTCCCTATCCCTCCTGAATACATTGCAGCCAGAAACATTCAGCTCCCATTCCTGCCCTTGTTGGAGCCAGGTCTCTGTGATAGCAACTACATTGTAACCCCATATGGCAACTTGAACCTATAGCTCACTAATCTTATTTGTCACACTCCATGCATTTACGGGGATCTGCTTTGCATTTCTCCCACATCTAACCCCTCCTTTTTTTCTGGATTGCACCTGATTACATTGCTATTCGTCTCTCTCAGCCCCCTATGTAACCTGATTCCCTTCCCCCACCTCAAAATTAGTTTAAACTCTTCCCCGCAGCACTAGTTAACCTCCCAGCGAGGACATTGGTCCCAGCCCTGTTCAGGTGTAACCCATCCACCTAGAACAGGTCCCACCTGCCCCAGAACTGGTCCAAATGATCCAGGAACCTGAAGTCCTCCTTTCTGCACCACTTCTCCAGCCATGCTTTCATGCGTTTGATCCTACTGTTTTGATACTCACTTGCACGAGGTACTGGGAGTAATCCAGAGATGACCACCTTTGAGGTCCTATTCTTTAGCTTTTTCCCTAGCTTTTGGCACTCTCTCTGTAGGATCTCAGCCCTTTTTTCCCTACATTATGGATCCCAACATGGACCATGACTTCTGGATGTTCCCCTTCCCCCTGTAGAAAGTTTTGCACCCCTTCCGTGATGTCTTCAACACTGACACCAGGGAGGCAACGTACCATGCGAGAGTCACGTCTTTGGTTGCAGAAATGGCTATCTACTTCTTTCATCACTGTGTTCCCAATGACAATAGCATTGACACTCTTCCCTGTGTCCCCCTGTGCATCCATTTGCTTTGACTCCCTTCCTCAGAGGTGTCATCACCCTGACCGGTATTCAATACAGAGAACCAGTTTGTGAGTGCCACACTCTCAGTGGATTTTTAGCACTGCCTCTTCCCCTTCCTACCATGCCAGGTGGTCACCCACTCACTCTCCTTCTGAACCCGGTGTGGGGGTGACCCCCTCCTGAAACATTCGATCCATGAACTCGTCAGCCTCCCGTATGCTATGTAGTGACACCAGCCTCTCCTTGAGCTCAGAAACCCTCAGCTCAAGCAGCTGGAGGCTCTTCCTACACGCGTGTCTGTCCAAAGCATCCTGGAGTTCCCACATGGCTTACCAGCCATATTCCCAGACATGTTTTATATTATTTTAATATATATTTTATAATTCTGCATCTCTTTGCCCTTCTGCACTGAATTCCCACTCTCACCAAATTCCTTAACAGAATTCTCAATCTGTTCCACCTCACCACTCAGTTCCCTCCTCCCGCTGCAGGGCTCTCCGCTCAAGTCCATCAAATTTATCATCTCTTCCGAAGGACGGCATCTCCGACAAAGTGACCCTCCTCCCCGGCATTGCACTGGTGTCAGCCAAGGCCATGAGAGTTCAAAGTCCTCACGTGGGACTCGCACCCATAACTCTCTGACTCCGAGGCAAGCATGTTACTGACCCACCAAAACAATGGGTAGCTTCCAAGAATTTACTGCTGCCGCTGATCTGCTGTTGCACAAGGTTTGGGAGATGCACCGCATCGAGCCCAAACTATCGTAGTTACAGAACAGCATTGTGAATAGGAAACTTCTCCATTACCATATCACTACTCACTGCTTTCAGTAACAAAAAACAGCTTACACCGCAAAGGTTAGACAAGCAAGGGAGAAGGGGGAGGTGACCACAGGCACGGTCGAAGAGGTAATATAATTCTTGCATTTGATATAGCGCCTTATCACGTCATTCAGACGTCTCAAAGCGCTTCACAGAATATACTGTGAAGTGAATTGACCGTATATTTTGTGGGAAAAATGCTGCAACCAATTGCACACAGCAGTGTTCCACAGCCAACTCCACAGCCAACTGTGATAGGTCTTGAAGTGGGATTTAAAGATAGATGAAGAGGGGGCAAGGTGGAGGGATTGAGGCAGGGAGTTAGAGGCTCAGGGAGCAGTGACTGAAGATTTTTGTGATCGAAACAATTTTTTTTTTTTAAGATCAGCCAGGTCGGTGTATGTCACCTGCGGAAACACATCAAACATGCATCCATGGAATTGCCATGTATTGAAATGGAATGCGCACTCTCTCCCCGGAGGGATACCCGTTTCTTACCTAATTCCGGAAACGTTGGCAAGAGCCGAGGCTTGGGGGACTCCAGAGTGTGTGATGGGGTAACTACTGGATTCTAACCAGCTAAAGCCACATAGTTTGTCATTGAGAGTACCGTCTGGCAAGCTTTCCCGCTACTTGTCCAGCTAGGTCCAGCCTACCCATTAGAGCTTTGGCTTTCAGGCAGAGTTAACAGGAGCTGATGGGGAGGATTCCCTGCCCAATTATTGTAAACGAAGACGTGTATGTTTGAAATGAGTCTTCTTCACGCTGGACCCTCCTGGTCAGCAAACCCATCTACCTTCCCTCAAATTAGACCGATGCAAAGAGCGCTCGCAAAGAGCAAGAAAACCAGCGTTTAAACCAAGTTTGTTTAAGCTTTTTCTTTAAAAAAAAACAATTCATAGCATAATTTTACCGGGACCACAATCTCCCAGCATTCACAGTGATCGATTGTCAATGGAAGAAAGACTTGGCAAAAAGGAAAAGAGAAATAAGCCACAAATAAAAGGCAACTCATCATTCAGAAAGATGAGGCAAGGTTTCACAAATCATTGGCGTTGTTTTTGTTCACCCCCTTTCTCTCCCTCTCTCCCTCCCTCGCTCCCTCCCTGCCCGTCTGCCTGTTCGCACTCACTGGGAGAAAATGTTGATTTAAGGCTCCAAAGTGGAGGAAGGATTGAAGCTCTTTAAAGAGCGAGTTGAACCAAGCTTTAAGTTCAGCGTCAGAAAACCAACAACAACAACAACAAAAAGAAGGCACTAAATGTGCTCTACAACATCCGTTCAATGTAATCAGAGCAGCAGCTAATCATTCAAAACTTAAGGGGTAGGTGGGGGTGGTAACTGATGGTTCAGATTGGCAAGAGCACTGGGCGATGAAAGTTCCTTCCTCTGTCCAAATGGGTGCTCATCGAAGGGGAAAGTAAGGCTGTCTGGAGAGGAGAGGTGCGGCTTGATTTTCTTCCGTTGTGGGGATCATAGTGTTCCCGGGGCAGGTTCTACTGGTGCTTGTTCTACTGGACTGTCTGCTTCCTATGGGGGAGTGGGGGGTGGGGGGAGAAAGAGAGAAGGGAGGGGAGAAGAGGAAGGAAAGGTGTGGACGAGAGAAAGAGAAAATGAAACCAAAATGAGAACATTAATAATAATAATCCTTGCACTTGATATAGCGTCTTATCACGTCGTTGAGACGTCTCAAAGTGCTTCACCAGAATACACTGTAAAGTAAATTGATTGTATTTTGTGGGGGTGAAACGTAGCAGTCAATTGCGCACAGCAGTGTCCCACAAACAGTCGTGGGTTGAGTGATCAAATCTTTTTTTTCATTTTTTTTTAAGGGATTATTAGCACCCTGAAAGCGATCCACCAATCGACTAACAACCAGGTTCCTACTTACTGCTCGGTAAACCGAGGCGTGTGGAGTAAGGAAACTTGCCTAAGGTTTTGCCCCGCCTGGCAATTGAACCCGGGTTCTCTCGCTTGCGATGTGAGCGAGCTAACCACTACGCTACAAGACGCCACCAATCCCTCCAGAAACCACACCTTATCATTCTCACCCCCACCCTAAACTACATCAACCTACTTTATAAATGAGTCCCAGTGTTCTATCCTCAACCACCGTTGCTGGTAACCCTGGCCCAGTCGTTAATTACCCACTGGGTAAAGAAATACTTCCTGGTGCCCATGCTGAAATTGCCCCTTTGCAACTCTAAGTCCGTGTACTCTTGTTCTGCTGTCTTGGAACACTTTAACTTATTGTTTTGGGTTTTGCTAACTCAATCTCATCTAGAATCATTAGTGTATGTCTCCACACGTGTTGCCCTCGGAGACGCCTCTTTCTCTCTCTCTCTCTCTCTCTCTCCACAAACTCCCTCCACTCGTCCTGTCCCACAGACAATAGTAAAACACTTGCTTGAATTAAATCTTACAATGCAATCAATCTTCAAAATCCAGGGCTCAGTGCAGAATTAGTCAATCAAAAAACACGTAAAACACATGGCGGGGGCTAGATTTCTCTAATTATCAGTAGTATTTCAGAACATTGAGAATTTAACAATCAGTTGAATTTAGTCTCCACTTTGAAGTTATTTTACGGTAACTCAGTATAAAACTTGCGGAAAGAAACAACAATAAATTACATTCGTATAGCGTCTTTCACGTTAGGAGGACATCCCAAGCCGTTGGACAGTCAAGGGTTTGCACCCGAGCTGGGGGTTGGGATCAAGAGGGGTGGAGATGGGAGCATGACCGAAGGTACAGTCAAAGAAGAGGGTCTTGAGCTGGGCCTTGAATGAGGCAAGGGAGGGGGTGAGGCGGAGGGGCTACAGGATAGAATTCCAGAGGGTGGGGCAGAAAGGCTGAAGGGCCGACCACTCATAGTGGAGGGCGGGGGACATGGAGCAGGCCAATGCCCGCTGAGTGGAGGGAGCAGACAAGGTGGTAAGGTTTTAGCAGGTGGCAGAGATAAAGGAATGTGCCAAATTGTGGAACGCTCCATGAAACACGAAGAAAATAGAGAGTCAATGGAGATCTGGGTGAAACCTCTACACCTGGGACCTAATGTACAGGGTGGTCACAAAGTCCTCTTACAAAACAGCAATACAAGACTACAGAGGAGCTGAAACCAGCTGTCAGAGATGCATTTCCCCTCCTCACTCCATCCTCGTCACAGATGTGGCTTCGAACATGGCGACGGATTATTATCTACCACTCTCACACACACTCACACCCATCCTTTGGACCTCTAAATACAGTTAAACATTTGTACCTAATACAATTAAGTACTTCTAAATGCAAGCCACATGTTTCAGTTGTTGGTCAGTGCACTGTAGAGGGAAAAAAAGTAACAGAACTTTGTGGACACCCTATACACTGGTCAATGGTGTATAAAGAGAGGAAACAGAGACAGAATCACCAATGATAAGCCCAGCACCAGTTAATACTGAATTAATTCAGTTATGTCTTGTGCTATCAAATGGTAATTCACAAGGATTAATGCTGGGTTGCACATGCTGGGTCAGGATGTGGGCGTGACATCGCACTTTACCTTAAACCCTTGCAGATGAAATCGTATAAAAGCAAAATGAATATAAATATGTTGTCTAAGATTCGTCGTCCGATTCCTGAGCCTCCTCCTCATCCTAGTCAACAGGAAAGCACAATGGGTCACAGTGACAGACAGTGATACACAGCTCAACACATAAGACCTGGTGAGGACTCCCCCACCAAACCGATAAGACAATTTCTTTTAATAACAACAGACAAAACAACAAATTGCATTTACACGGCGCCTTTCACATCGGGAGTACGTCTCGATGCTAGACACCGAGCTGCGGGTTGGGATCAGGAGAGGTGGAAGGCGGAGGTGGGAGAGAAAATGAGGGAAAATGACCGAAGGAGGCAAGGAAGGGGGTGAGACTGAGAGGCTCCAGGATGGAGTTCCAGAGGGTGGGGCAGAAAGGCACACAAGTCCACGTTTGATCAGTAGGGTGTTTTTTTTCCCGTGATTGGCGTAAATCAAGAAATATTCAATTAGTTAAATCTATTTTGTTGGCCAACCGCAAAGGTTTGGCCAGCACTGTTGTAGGCAAACAAGGCAGCCAATTCCTCCTTTGCGTGTCCAGGAGACATAGTTGCCAATCAGATGACCACTGGCTTTTTTTTGAGATTTACAAAATAATAATCCTTGCATTTGATATACCGTCTTAGAACGTTATTGGGATGTGTCGCATGACGTACTGTAAAATGTATATTTGGTATATAATAATAATCCTTGCATTTGATGTAGCGCTTTTCACGTTTTCTAGACGTCTCAAAGTGCTTCACAGAATATACTGCAAAGTGAATTGACTATAAATTTGTGGGCGAAACACAAAAGCCAATTGCGCACAGCAGCGTCCCACAAACAGTCGCAGATTGAAGTGACCAAATTATTATTTTTTTTTTCTTGAGGGATTATTATCAAGCTTGTAGAGTAAGGAAACTTGCCCAAGGTTTCGCCCTGCCGGGCATCGAACCCAGGTTTCTCTTGCGAGGCAAGTGCTCTAACCACTGAGCTACAGGACTCTTTTTTTGTAGACGAAACATGGCAGCCAGTTGTGCACAGCAATGTTCCACAACAGCCATGGAGTGAGTCATTGATTTTATTTGGGGAATTGTCAGCCAGGACACCAGGAGAGAGAAACTCCCTCCTCTTTCCAAATAGCGCCGCGGGATCTTTGACCCCCACCTGAACAGGTGGAGAGGACCTCGGTTTAACATCTCTTCTGGAGGACGGGAAGTTAAAACCATTTATCCAGAGAGCCAGCAACTCCGTGGCAAAAGTGACCAAATTCGCAGTCCTGATTATTGATTAAATTGATTGTAAGTTTTCCCTCACATTGAAATGTCAAATAGTTTTAAGCGGGCAATTGAATTCCAAGCACGTTCCCCACAACCACCTAGTCAGTGCGCACTTTGGGTTTAATAGACACCGTCATGGCTGCTTGTGCTTATTACAGAGAGACTACCTCAGTCACTGGCACCTCGTCTTCCTCTTCCTACATGTTTGTGTAATGGGAGATAGAGAGAGAGAGAGATCAATGTAAAGAAACCAAAAGATAATATGATGAGTGATGGTTACCAGGTTATGGAGATGGTTACCAGGTGACAGCAGAGGAGAGAAAATAATGAATGAAACCAGTGAGATGAAACACTCTCACACACAACTAAGGTTACTACACATTGTTTAGGAACAGATGGATACCTCCAACACCATGTTCTTCACATTTGATTTCCTCTACAATTAGAGTTGCCTTTGGTCCACTGCTCGACCGCCCCCCCAACCCCAATCACAGCAACGGGCTACTTTGTAAATGAATCCCAGTGTCCTGGCCTCGCCCACCCTTCCTGGTAACCCTGCTCCAGTTGTTAATATACTCTGGGTAAAGAAAAACTTCCTGGTGTCTGACCTGAAATAATTACCCTTTGCAACTCTAAAACTGTGTCCTCTTGTTCTACTGTCTTGGTACACCTGAAAGTATTGTTCTGGATTTACTTTTTTCAATCCCATGTACTACATTAGACCTACACCATTGGAAAAATAGTGCAGCATTGTGGAAAACTGCATTGTGGTCACGATAACCAAAGAGTAACAATTCCAACAGTGATCTCCATAACTACAGAGTGACAATATTAAGAGATAAATTGTTGGAATTTAATGCGCACTCTCTCCCTAGAGGGAGGGATGCATCCCGCTTACCTAATTCCAGAGAGTATTAGGTACAGGTTGGCGAGAGCTGTGGCTTGGGGATCCCAGAATGGGAATTGGGGGTGACTGATGGAGCCTAACCAGCTAAAAACCACATAACTTACATAACTTACCATTGATAGTACTGTCTGGCAAGCTTGTCCAGCAAGCACCTGTTAGGGCTTTGGCATGCAGAGTTAATGGGAGCTGATTCCCTGCTCCAATGACTGGTCTGGCCTTCCAAGTCCTGCCGATGAGCCAAACTCATGCGACTACCAGGATGGTAGAAGGCAAACTAGACGGACCTTGGTCTTTTATCGTCTAACAATTTCTACGTTCCTATGTTAGCGATTGCTCAATTCGTAGTACAGCCCTGCAGACCTAGAGAAGGACTGCTGTGATACCCTGCCAGAGAAGCAGGCTAGACATTGGCTGGTATCTGTCTGCTCCAGTATCAAGATTAATCACATCAACTTGTGAAGGCACTCGCATTACTGTATGAGGATGATATGTAAAAGCTACAGGATGGAATGGCTAACGGGTATGAAGAAAAACAAGAGCTTCAAAAACCAACTACCTCAGTTACGGGCTGTTCTTCTTCATCCTAAATTAAGGAGGGAAGCTTTAAACAAAAAGATCTGAAATTTTCTTTTGGGATTTTTTTTTAAAAAAAGATGCGTTTTCAGTTAGTTATAACGAGAACACAGCAAAAAACAGTGAAAAACACAACAAATTACATTTCTACAGCATCTTTCACGTTGGGAGGACATCCCAAGGCGCTGCACAATCAGGGATTTAGGCCCGAGCTGGGGTTAGGATCAGGAACGGTGGAGGGCAGGGAGGGTGGGGGTAGGAGGTTGACTGAAGGCGCGGTTGAAGAGGACGGTCTTGAGGTGGGCCTTGAAGGAGGCAAGGGAGGGAGCGAGACAGTAGGGACTGAGGGATGGAGTTCCATAGGGTAGGAGCAGGAAGACCGATGGCTCGACCGCCAATGGTGGGCCGGGGGACATGGATCAGGACGGAGGTTGATATGGGGTTAGCAGGTCACAGAGGCAGGGAGGAACAAGGTCATGGAGGGCTTCGAAGGTGAGGACGAGGATTTTGAACTCTATCCTCTGGGAGATGGGGAGGCGGGCGAGGATGGGGGCGATAGGTTTAGGGAGCCTGGCGCGGGAGAGAATGCGTTTTCAAATGAGTTTCAGTTAATTATGAGTTAAAGTGAAAAGCCTCTAGACATCACTAGTAATCATTAGAATTTGTGTGTGTATTATATAATATGTAAAAGTTAAAATAAATCTTAAGCACAAATCAAGCAGAACTTGTTTTAAATGAAAAAATAAAAAGGTTAAAAACTATTATATCTGACAACTCGTTATCGCTTTATAAAGAAAATGAGTTTTTTTTAAAAAAAGGAAAAAAAAGTCATTCATAATTTATCGAGTGATCCCAACCTCTGTGACTGGATCCGCAACCTCCTGATCCCCCTGGCAAAATGATAAGCAGAGAACAGAAACAAAGTGATAGGTGAGTCACTCTCAATGACACCGAAGAATGTTACAGCCGCAGAAACGTACAGGAGCCTAATTGGCCAACTTTCTCCCAAGTCAGTGTTTCCTTCCCAAACCCAAACATGCTTCAAGAAGCTGACTGTCCCCAATCCCCTTCATCCTCTGAGAAGATCCAAGAAATCCCAATCCCCCCTACCCCTCCTCCATACTCCTCTACACGTGCTTGTTCCAATTTCTTCTTAACCCCCCGCCACACCCCACTCAGCTCTGACAGCCACTTCCATGGGATTGCTAGGATACTGGAAGGCAAACTAGATGGACCTTCGTCTTCTTTTGTCCAGCAAATTCTTATGTCCACCCCAACCCTGACGGATCATTCAAGCCTTGTTGGAGGAGCAGCTCTTCTGAATGATTGTACATCCCACACAGGATGCACCGTTAACATTTTACACAGAATGGAAACACGCCATCTAGCCCAACTTGAGAGCACGGGCTCTCAAGCTTTCCCGTTGCTTGTCCAGCTAGGGCCACCTATCCTCTAAGGCTTTGGCTTGTGGAGGGTTAACAGGACCCAAGTGGGAGGAATCCCCACCTCCAGTGACTGAAGAACCGTGCGCAGGTTTTTGTGGGTGACCTGAAAGTTGTACGACAGAATTCTCTGCCACAGGCTAAGGCGACGGTGGAATTTCAGGTCTCGAGTGGAGTAAGGAAGTGAGCAGATTATCCGTTCTCAATTCTGACTTCTGTTCCAATACACAATCTACAATATTCACAGAACGGCAGTGGATTTGCTTCTGTGCAGGCAAAGTTGGTCAGGTTACAGGGCGCCCTAACCCTAGGCTTGTCTCTGCCTCTTTCTGTGTGTCATGTGCTGGGGCTGGTATTGCTAGGTAGCAGTTTATGAAGGGCTAATTTCTCTATTTCTAGTCTATCCACTCCTCCCACCCCATGAAACACATCAGTGAAGTGCAGGATTCGTGTCTCCAACACACACACAAAAGGGAAAACTCGTCACTAAGTTGAGCTGGTTTCCTGCTGATGTAGCCAGCACAGTGTTAATTTCAAACAACAAACTATACATCACACCTTTTGCATTGGGAGGACGCCTCAAAGCATTTCACACACGGCTGACTGGGAGGCTGAGTTCTGGAGCGGGGAGTGAATGAGGGGACAAAGATAGCCGAGTCTAAAGGATGGATCTTAAGGTTGGTTTTAAAGGTGGGGAGTGAGGGGAGAGTGGGAGTGTTAAAGTGGAGTATCTCCAGGATGGGAGTTTTAGAGAGTTGGCGGGGGGGCAAAATGGCTGAAAGCCTACCAGCCAATGGTGGGATGGAGTAGCTAGAGGGACTGAGGTGCAACAAGGAGATGGGCTTTTAACAATAAATCAAGTTTTTCCAATGCCCAGAGAGAGAAAGAGAGGGACACACACACACACACACACACTCACATACCCACGGGAAGAATAATCACTTTGCTTCCCAGCAGCGTAAACGCAACATTAAAAGCAACTCATTCACAAAGTCTTAGCAACAGAAACACATAACGGTCCAAACCTCTGTCACTGGCTGCTCCCCTTCCTCTTCCTGGTAAAGTCACGAAGGCAAAACATGGGCGAGAGAAAGCAGGAGAGAAAGGCGGAATGAAATAGCAACAGAGACGGCAGGAAGTGTTTGACTACCCTGGAGCTGCAGAAACCCTACTTAATGAAGCTTTCAAACAAAGGTAACCTTGGATTTCAATCCCAATTTTACCTTTTCTTTCACCTCTTCGCTCCATAACCCCATCCTCCACACCTCTCGAGGCACTGAGTGACAAGATAGGTCCACACACACTGCACTAAGCCAAGACTGTTGCTATCACGCATCAATTGGCTCAGTGAGGGTGCAAGGTTTCATTCAAGCTATGGGATGCAACGCCCAAGCCCAGTCCAATTTTCACTCCATACACTCGAACACTCGCTAACTTCCTAGCGGGCCAGAGCGGCGAGGTGGGAAGGGAGTGGGAAACCTACAGCACAGGGAGAAGGGCATTTGGCCCATCGTGTAAATGATGGGGGAGGGGAGATGGAGGCAACTTAATAGCGTGATGTCATGATCAAGGGTATGCAAACTGGTTTGAATGGAGCCTCACTGTATACTGTTTCCATTGGTAGGAATGCCTCATTGTCTGTAAGAACGTCACCTTCCTGTTTGTCTCACCGTTTCAGTTACCTCCACCGCACAGGCGGCAGGAACGGTCCGAGTTATTTCCATCGGGAGGAACATTGTTAACTTGTTAGCCCTCTCACTTAATTCCATTTGTAAGGATTCTTCAACCGTGCCTTCACCTCCCTTCTCCACTCTCTACCCCCTCCTCGCTCCCTCCCTCCCTTCCTTCCCCTCCCCCTGACCATTTCCCCCCAATGCTCGGGTCCCGACCCAACTGTCCAGCGCCTTGGGACGTCCTCCCGACGTGAAAGGCGCTCTATAAATGCAATCTTGTTGTTGTTGACTTGTTTGAACAGAGCTTAATTTGCCAAAACAGAGATTTACTGTGTTTAAGAGGGTTGTTTTTTTTTGTACGTGTCAGAGCATGTGAACAAAAGTATAAACACTGGGTGTTTGAGCCAGGCAGGTTGAGTTGTACTTGAGGGACTTGAGTCGGATAGCTTTCCCACCCGGCTCAAACCATAAATGCCTTTATGTATTACGACTCTGCCTTCATTTAAGACTTTGGGTTGTCGCCAAAGTGTATGCTTGTGGCCAATAAATATTTTGAATTTATTTCGAGCAGTGCGTATTTTAATTGGCTAATGTAAACGGGATACTGGTTTTATCCTCCCGACTCGAAACAACAACAACAAATTATATTTCTACAGCGCCTTTCACATCGGGAGGACGTCCCAAGGTGCTGGACATTCAAGGATTTGGACCCGAGCTGGGGGTTGGGATCAAGAAGGGTGGAGGCCAGGGAGGGTTGTGTAGGAGGGTGACCCGAAGGAGCTGTCGAAGAGGGGGGGGTCTTGAGACGGGCTTTGAAGCGCTCCACTCCTCTATTTCCCAGCTCAACAACTTATAAAATAAAACCTTCAATAATCCCCCACAAAACCAAGCGAGTGCAATTGGGATACCATGAGATCAAGGGGGCTGGCGAGCTGTAACTAATTAAAGACGAGAGTGAAGAGTGAATGATATTTAGATCATGCTACATGCTACGTGTCACACAGACACTCAGACTGACACACGCACACACACAAAATCTGCTGTGTTAATTGGATTGATCCAAAGAAATGAAATGAAGAGAAATGCAAGGTTTTTTTTAAAAAAAATAAAAAGTGAATGAAAAGGATAAAATAAAAGTGAGAGAAAAAGAGTTTAAAAGAGGAAAAGGAATGATTAGTCATTCGAGAAAAGGAAGAGGAATGTGATTTTTTTAAAAAAACGGAACGTGAAAAGGGTTAAAAAGTGAACGGAAAGGGTTACAAAGTGAACGGAAAGGGTTAAAGTCACTCAAGAAAAGGGAAAAGGCAGAAAATAAAAGAGAGAATTTACAGTTTTGAGAGCCTCCTCCCCAGTCTCCTCCGCTTCGCCTGTTGGGTCAGAATCTTTGCCGTTCACAAGGGTCTGGCCTTCGTTCTCCGCAATGTTCTCCTGCACACGGCAACACCCAACATTCAGGGAGAAGCATAGAGTGTAAGCCACGCTAGAACCTACAAATAATAGTAATAATCTTTGCGTTTGATATCGCGCTGTATCACGCCGTTGAGACGTCTCAAAGCGCTTCACAGCATATACCGGAAAGTGGATTGGCTCTGTTTTGTGGGCGAAACGCGGCAGCCGGTTGCGCACGGCAGTGTCCCATGAACAGCCATGGAATGAGTGACCAATTTTATTCAGGGGATTATTGGCCAGGACACCGGGAGAGAGAGAAACGTCCTTCTCTTGTTCAATAGCGCAGGGGAATCTTCAACATCCATCTGAACAGGCAGACGGGTCCTCGGTTTAACGTCTTTAACGAGAGAAGGGAGATTCTCTCCCCACCCCCCAACCCCCGGTGTCCTGGCCAACAATCCCTCCCCCCAAAATAAAATTGGTCAGTCACTCGATTGGCTGCTGTGTGCAAACTGGAATCTGCTTTTCGCCCACAAATACACAGTCAATCCACTTTACAGTGTAAGTACTTTGAGATGTCTCAACGACGTGATAAGGTGCTATATCAATGCAAGGATTATTATTATCATAAAGATAACTAATCAGTGGATTTCCTGGGTCCAGGGACCAGAAAAAAATCATGTGTTGCCGGCTCATATTTTTGCATGCAAGCCCTTACTCCCTCTCCGCACCCCTCCCCAAATTGATCCCCAATGACTACGAATATCCGCAGGGGCTTGAGGTGGGAAATCTCAGTAAAGCATGACAAGCTTCATGTACTCTGCCCTATTCTCTTCCGTTCTGCCCCGCTCCATCCTACTCACTCTGATCGTTCCAGGTCTGTCTCATGCATCTTTGATTGCGTTTCCTGTAAGCTTTCCCCTCCCAGCTAACTCCCAGCTCCCACCTCCAGCTCAGGTGCTAAGATTTGATTCCCAGGCGGGGTGAAACCTCAGGCAAGTTTCCTTACTCCACACGCCTCTGATATCTAGTAGTAAGTAGGAACCCAGTTGTTAGTCGATTGGCGGGGGTAATAATCCCTACCAAAAAAAGTAATAATAATTCGGTCCCTCGATCCACGACTGTTTGTGGGACATTTCTGTGCGCAATTGGCTGCCGAGTTTCTCCCACAAAATACACAGTCAATCCACTTTACAGGATAGTCTGTGAAGCTACATGATAAGCCGCTGTATCAGATGACCGTATTATTATTATTACTAACCACACTGGTGTAAGAAAGTGAACAATACAGCGATGCTGGTGTAAGAGGGTGAAGATTATACAATTTAGTGACCACAATGAGTAGAATTTTCCTTGCCGACTTTCCCCAAGTCCAGGGCACAACAAATGCTCTTGTTAAACACCAGCCATAAATTAAAAGCCCGGGCGCAGGTTGTGAATTTCAACTGGACAGAGAACTCCAGTCAACGCGAGTTTAATACATTTTCACCACAAACCAAACAAGAGGCAAAAATGATGCGTGAAAACCCAACGCAAGCACAAACGGACGCAAACGCATGCCCCACGCCACAAACGCTGCCAGGTACAAATGAATACATAATTACATTTACGTCTGTCGACTGCTCAATGTGATTATGCAACATTTCAATATTTTCTTCAAGCTGAGCGTCCTCAGGAACACACGAGCGCTGCTCTGGGCCCTGGCAACCGGTGGGGGGAAATGGAGAGAAGAACGGCAGAGATGAGCCATGCAAGGCACAGAGCAGAGCAAGGAAGAGAGGCACACAAAACAGGCAAGATGGAGATAGAAACAACGATAAACAGAGAGAGAGAGAGAGACAGAAAGTGAGAGAGACACAATACAACAAATTACACTTGTATAGCGTCCTTCATGTCGGAAAGCTGTCGGGGTTTTTGGATCCAAGCTGGGGTCAGGAGGGGTGGAGGGCAGGGAGGGGGTGGGAGGGATGGCCGAAGGCATGGTCGAAGAGGAAGGTCTTTAGACGGGACTTGAAAGAGGCAAGAGAGAGGAGGTGAGGTGGAGGGATGGCGGGATAGAGTTCCAGAGTGTGGGGGCAAAGATGCTGATTGCCCGACCATCAATGGTGGGGAAGGAAGTGCGGGGGACCTGAAGGAGGCCGGTGTCCGCCGAGCTGAGAGAGCGGACAAGCTGATACAGGGTTAGGAGGTCGGAGGGGTAGCGGGGAGCAAGACTGTGGAGGGCTTTGAAGGTGAGAACGAGGGTTTTGTACTCAATTCTCTGAGGGATGGGGAGCCAGGGCAAGAACGGGGGCAATTGGTTCAGGTGGCCTGATGCAGGAGAAGACATGAGCTGCAGAGTTCTGAATAATCTGCAGCTTGTGGAGGGAATAGTTGGGAAGTCCAGCAAGCAGGCAGTTGGCGTAGTCAAACTGGGACACGATGAAAGCGTGGATCAGGATCTTGGCGGCCTGAGGCGAGAAACGGAGGCAGAGGTGGCAATGTTGCGGAGGTGCGGAAAGGCGGAAAGGGTCACGGCACGAAAATGGGGTTTGAAGGATAGCCGAGGGTCGAAAAAGGTCACCGAGGTTTCGTATTGGCTACGGTGAGGTGACGAGTGCAGCCATGAATAATGATAATTTCAGAGGCCGGGAGCCAAGCAGGAGGGCTTCTGTCTTGCCAACATGGAGCTGGAGGAAGTTGGCTCTCGTCCAGGGCTTGATGTCAGACACACAGTTAGTCAGGACATCAACGGTCCTGCAGTCGAGGGTGGAGGCGACGAGATAGAGTTGCGTGTCATCCAATTGACCCCAAGCCTGCGGATGACATCACTGAGCGGGAGCGGGTATAGATCGAAGAGGATTGAAGGTTGGACAACAACAAAATTACATATGTATAGCGTCTTTCATGTCGGGAGGACGTCCCAAGGCGCTGAAACACACACACATACATACTCACAGAGATAGAAACAGAGAGAGATGCAGAGCAAAAAACAGAATGAGAGAAAACCGCATGTGTATTGGGCACAAGAGAACGTATGCTCTGCAGTGGTGAGTCTATAGCGTCTGTATTAAGAGAGCGGTGGGGGAACATTATACACTTTGGGGACCACAAGGAGCAGAATTTCCCTGCGTCTGACTGAACGATGGGTTCAGATGTAAACGCTGTTGCAAACAACATACCTCAACCACAAAGGACCATGCGACTGATCACCAGACAGCACAGAGCCAAACAGAGACACAGTCCATGCTTCAACAACAACACAATGCATGTATATAGCGCCTTTCTTGTCGGGAGGAGGTCCCAAGGCACTGGACAGTGAGTGGTTTTGTACCCAGGATGGAGTTGGGATCAGAAAGGAAGACAACCGAAGGTACGGGCGAAAAGGAAGGGCTTGAGACAGGCCTTGAAGGAGGGAAGGGAGGGGGCGAGGCGCAGGGGCTCCAGGATGGAATTACAGAGGGTGAGGGAAGAACATTGAGCGCGGGTGGGGTGGGGAGACGTAGGCGCGGGCGGAGGAATGGTGTCAGAAAAGGGCGTGGAAGGTGTCGGCCGTCACAAGGCAAACGTGGAAGAGACGGCGAGAGCTAAAGAAATCAAAGCTTAATTACAGCGTTTGGAGTGTGGTCTCCTGGAGTCTCGCCGTTCTGAAGGATTTCGGCCTGATTGGCTTCCTGCAAAGGAAAGAGTAGATTCTCACACAAACGCCCACCCGCCACTGATCAGTTCAGGCTTCCCCCCTCCTCTCCCCCCCTCCCCACCTTAACAGAGGGAAAGCTACAATACCCGTCTGCTCGCTCCGCTCAGCAGGCTCCGGCCTGCTTCATATCCCCCGCCCAGCCCCATCCCGCCCCACCATCGGCGGTCGGGTCAACAGCCTCTCTGCCCCCCACCCTTTGGATCTCCATCCCAAAGTCCTTTCGCCTCGTTCCCTCCCTTGCCTCCTTCGAGGCCATTCTCAAGACCCTCCTCTTCAACCACGCTTTTGGTCACCCTCCTAACCCTACCCTCGCTGCACCCCCATCTTGGGTGCAAATGCCCAACTGTCCCAACGCCCTGGGACGTCCTCCCGACGTGAAAGGCGCTGTGCGTAAATGTAATTTGGTGTTGCTCATGGAAGCCCAACTCTGGTTTAACCTGTGCTCTACCTTGGCACCACAATCCACAGGGCTCTCACCTTATAACAGTGGTGGAGGTAGGTGGACAGCAATTTTGTACCTGGAGTCCCGTAGCATAATGGTTAGCCCGCTCGCCTCACTAGCGAGAGGACCCGTGTTCGATTCCTGAGTGGAGCGAAATCTTAGGCAAGTTTCCTAAACTTCCTCTCGAAATGTATCTACACTCTCGGATTCAACCACTGCTTCAGGCAGCCAAGTTCCACAACCTCACGACCCTCCGTGTCAAACAGTTCCTCCTAAATTCTCTCTTAGATTCCCCACCCACACCCAGTCGCCATCTTATATTTGTGTCCCCTGGTTACGGACACACTGGAAGTGATGTCAGCACCAACCTGACAACCTGGAACCACTGACTAGAGGTTGATTATTTTGTGTTAAATAACATGGGGTGTGATTTTCACAGGCCCACAAACCACGATGTTATACTATGCTATGACAGGATCCAACTGCGTGTAACAAAGCTCCTTCTAGTGCAATGTTGCTTTTATTATTATTTTTTTGAAACCAGCCAGCCCCTGTGGTCTCACTGACCAACTTGTGTTGAGAAATTGATGTTAACAAGGAACCTGAATGAAAATCCAAACAGGAGCGTTTTATTTTGGGGGGGGGGGCGGGCGGGGGGGAAAAGAATGCACTGAGGAACTTTCATCCGAAAGGGACCACAATAATAATAATAATCCTTGTATTTGATATAGTGCCTTATCACGTTGTTGAGATGTCTCAATATACTGCAGAGTGGATTGACTGTACATTCTGTGGGCAAAACACCAATGGCACAAAGCAGTGTCCGATAATTGGATTGAGTTACAAAATTAGTATTTATTATTATTATCTTCAGAAAGTGATCCGCCAATCGACCGGGTTCCTACTTACTGCTAGGTAAACGGAGGCATGTGGAGTAAAGAAAGTTGCCTAAGGTTTCGCCCCGACCGGAAATTGAACCTGGATTCCCACGCTTGCGAGGCGAGGGTGCTAACCACTGCAGGAGCACAGGTCACAAGCTTGTCGCCAGAGCGTCGTATTATTATTGAGAGAGACTAAACGTTTTTGATCTGTTTCGTGCAAAACACGCACAAGGCTTTCAATTCACGCTCGAGACCATCACGCTGTGTAAAGTGCGCAGGAATGGAACGGCATTTCTTAAAGTGAAAATTCCTGTGGAAATTTAATAGTTCGGACAGGCCAAAAATCTGCTGCTTTTCTTACCTTTGAACCAGGAGGAGGTGTGAGATGCAGAAAGCCATACACTCCATTGTCTTCCTTGGCATTGAAGAAAGCTTCAAAGTCCTGCAGAACCAAGCAGCCACATTAATAGTAATCCTTGCATTTGATACAGCGCCTCATCACGTCTTCGAGACGTCTCAAAGCGCTTCACAGAATATACTGTAAAGTGGATTGACTGTATATTTTGTGGGCGAAACACGGCAGCCAATTGCACACAGCAGTGTCTCACAAACAGAAACAGTCGTGGATTGCGTGACCAAATTATTTATTTATGTTGAAGGGATTATTATCCCCGGCAAAAGCATTCCGCCAATCGACTAGCAACCGGGTTTCTACTTACTGCTATGTAAGTAGGCGTGTGGAATAAAGAAACTTTTTGCCCTGTCCAGGAATCGAACCCGGGACTTCTCGATTGCGAGGCGAGCGCTCAAAACACTAAGCTCCAGGATTCCACAGCATTACAGTCGACAGTCACTGTACATAAATATTACATTGTATAAATGTATGCAAATCACCTGGGTCTTTTAAGTACAGTAAAACTCACACAAGTCTTATCTTTATAAACCTATAAATGCCCAAGTCTTACACTACCCGAGTCCCATTCAGTTTCCTATCAAAACCACTTAGATTTCTTTGCGCCACTCGTATTAATCACCTCTTAATTCGTAACGCCTCTCCCCTACCCTCCATTACTTCCGCACTTACCGGCTGCTTTGAATCGCAGGATACGTGGTCTTGACCTGTCACTGCATGTGCACTTACCGGCTGCAGTGAATTGCACATGTGCAGTGATGATTATTGATTAAATCGGATTTTACACAACTTCTACAAGTTTGCCTGTAATTCGGACTTTGTGTAAGTCATGTTAAATGTTGCAGTCGCGACTGATACGACATGCGAGTTTTTACTGTGGTTGTTAGTGAGCCTCACCCCACAATACTGGGCATCGTTGAAGATCTGAGGAGGGAGAGGGTTGCCCTTCTGTGGGCGCTTTTCCCCCGGGACGTTTTCTCGCATCCACATCCTGTTGTCCTCGTTTGCCGCTATGTCCATCTCTTTAAAATCTATTTTATTGGCCTCCAGGAAACCCATAACATCCTGCTGTTTCTTCTTGATCTGCGAACGAGAAAACAATTTCAGTCACCAAGTGGGTTTGATTGGAGCGTGGCAGATAATAATAAATTACTTCATTTGATAAGGTGCTTTATCATGTTATTGAGACGTCTCAAAAGTGCTTCACAGAATATACTGTAAAGTGCAGTGAGAAAGGGTCAGATAAATATCTACAAGTTACCCTATCCACAAACAATTGTGGATTGGGTGGCCAATTTTTTTTTGATGGATTATTACCTCCAAAAAGTGGTCCCCCAATAGACTAACAACCGGGTCCCTACTTACTGCTAGCTAAACAGAGGCGTGTGGAGTAGGGAAACTTGCCTAAGGTTTCATCCTGCCAAGGAATCAAACCCGTGTCCTCTTGCTTGCGAGGCAAATGCACTATGCTATGGGACTCGTGGCATAGATACATGGTTAGTGGGAATGAACGGATATTTTGTTCTGAGAGCTGGTGCTTGATTGACCGAATATCCTCCTCCTTAACCCGGAAGCCAAAGCCCTAACTGGGAGGGTGGTCTTAGCTGGATGAGCAGTGGGAAAGCTTGCCAGACAGTGCTCTCAATGGCAAGCTATGTGGGTTTTAGCTGGTTAGACTCCAGCAGTTACCCCAACACACGCTCTGGGGTCCCCAATCCTAGGCTCTTCAGACACAGGAAAATGTTCATGTGTAGATAGGATGCATATAAGGAACTCTCAATTTGGTTTGGATACTCTACAGCACGGTGATGGGTTTCCGAGTGTCAGACACTCTGGCAAACCACTGCCAGCTGAAGTGGAGAATTGGCTAAACCCAAACTCATGGCCAATATGAGAAAGGGTCAGACAATGTCTACAAGTTGCCCGATTCACTTGCCATTTGCTCATTTACTTACTATCTTAAATCAAAACGCTCCAGTCAATGATCAGTGGAAAGAATTTCTTCCTATTGACTATCAAAACCCATCATAATTTTATACTCTTCGATCAGGTTATCCATCAACCTCTCTTTGTTAAAACACAAAAAGTCCCAGTTTCCCCAGTCTCCGCTCAGAGGCCAAAAACTTCTCCCCCGGTATCATCCTATTAAATCTCCTCTGCATCCCTCTCAGTCGCCTTGACGTCTTTCCTAAAGTGGGGTAACCAACACAGGACACAATAGTCTAACTATATCCAACTAACGATTTATACAAGGTTAGTATTGCCGGGTTGCATTTCTTTTGATCAGCCATGTGTCTGACACATGCAGAAACCTATCAAGATGCTTAAGAGTATCCAAACCAGACCGAGAATTCCACACATCCCACCCACACATGGAAACCCCAGAGACAGGTTGTTGGAATGGAATGCGCACTCTCTCCCTGGAGGGACCCATCCTGCTTACCTAATTCAAGAAAGTATTAGCCGCAGGTTGCTTTTATATTCTACGCTCCCTACTTATAAAACCTAGGATTCCGTGTATTTCGTGAGCGAAATGCGCCAGCCAATTGCGCACAGTGGTGTCCCTCGAACAGTCGTGGATTGAAAAGGGAATCAGAAGAGCAAAAGAACTTGGGGTGGGGCGGGGGGGTTAATGTTTTGATGTGAAAGGCACGATATCAAAGGTATGAATTAATTATTATTATCCAGTCTCTCTATCAAACCGGGGAAACCCTTAATGGTTTGCCTGGAGTATCGGAACTTCGCACTGGGATTAACTGGGGTGACCGTGAATGCAAGTAATGCTGGACTTTACCAGACTGCCATCAATACCTCCTCTCAAAGGCCATTTCACCACAAAGTGTTACGTCAGGTCCCCGATTGTGCCCTTCACTGAGTAACTGTATCTCATTTGTAGCAGCAACTATGCAGGCTCGGGACCTTCACTATCGCAACTCCCAGCCGCTAAATAATAATCCTTTGGGCTGGTTCCCTTACTCCACAAGCCTCTGTCTACTTAGCAGTAAGTAGGAACCTGGTTGTTAGTAGTTCGGTGGACCGGACCGCTTTCTCGGGGTAATAAGCCTTCTTTAAAAACATTTTTAGAAATGATAATTTGGTCATACAATCCAATCAATTGGCTGCTGCATTTCCAACCCCCAAAATATACAGTCACTGAAAACATTGATATCCTCACCCTCACAGAAACCTGTTTCACCACAGGCATCACCTTCCCCCTGACTGAGGCCACACCACCCAGCTATCTCTTCCACCATACCCCACACCCAACCGCTATGGTGGTGGGGTGGCTCATCTCCAGGTCCTCACTTGCTCCTCCTGTTCCTTCTCCTCCTTTGAGCACCTTATCCTCCACCATCCCTCCAATCTTTCCCTCAAAATTCTCTTTGTTTATTGCCTCCTCAAACCCTCCATCACCTTCCTCTCTGACATCACCAATGTTCGAGCTTCCCTCTGCCTCTGTTCAGAACGCCTCCTCATTTTTGGCGACTTCAACCAGCACTTCAGCCCCTCTCGCTCTATCTCCGATGAATTTCCCTCCTTTCTCTCGCTCCACCCTGCTAAACACGTCCATGGCCACCGGCTTGACCTGGTGATTACCGGGGTCTCAGCGTCTCGGACCTCACCATCACCGACAAAGCCATCTCGGACCATTACTTAATAATAATAATAATCCTTGCATTTGATATAGCGCTTTTCACGTCGGGAGGACGTCCCAAAGCGCTTCACAGAATATACTGTAAAGTGAATTGACTGTATATTTGTGGGCGAACGCGGCAGCCAATTGCGCACAGCAATGTCCCACAAACAGTTGTAGATTGAAAATGACCAATTTATTATTGTTTTTGGTTTTGTAGGGATTATTATTAGGCTCTGTGTGGAGTAAGGAAACTTGCCCAAAGTTTCGCCCTCTGCCTGGAATTGAACTCCGGTCTCTCGCTCGCAAAGCGAGTGCTCTAACCACTGAGCTACAGGACTCCCCTAATCTCCCCTAACTCGTCAATCCCTCTCCCCACCACCACCCAACCCACCTCAACCTCCTAACGCCCCTGGAAAAAAATCTCCCTCCACTCCCACTGCCCTGGGATCATCTGAACTCCTCCCCCTATGGGCTTCCTCCCACAATGACCTATCCTCCTCGGTCATCTCCTCTACAACTCCCTCTCCCCCACTCCCGATGCCCTTGTCCCCCTCACCTCCCGAACCACTTCCTACTTACGCAATTCACCCTGGTACACCAGCTACCTCCGTTCCCTCAAGGCACAGGTGTGTACTGCCGAACACACCTGGCTCAACTTATCTAACTTATTATTATTATAGATAATCTTGGAGGCCAAGGACAACTCCAGGCTCTTCTTCTCCTCCACCAACCAGTTCCTCTGCCCACCCTCTTCATGCCTTGCCTATCCTCTTCTCCAATGTCAACTGCAAGGAGAGGCTGGACTTCCTCGAGACCAGAATCAAGGGGATCCACTCAGCTGCCTCTGCCCTTCTAACGGCTATCCCCTCCCCATCTTCCCCTCACGCCGACTCCTACCCATCCCCCCTACACACCTTCAAACCTGTCTCCCCCTCCTCTCTCACCATCATTAGGACCCATATGAAACCTGCTCCATCTACCCCATCCCTACTCCTCTCCTTACCTCCCAGCTTCACCTCCTTGCCCAACTACTCACATCATCAATCTCCTTGTCCACTGGCACCATTCCCACCCCTTTAAAAACAGCCGTCTTCAGCCCCATCCTCAAAAAACCCATCCCTGCACTATAATTACCGCCCTATCTCCAACTTCCCTTTCCAAGGTCCGGGAACGAGTTGTTGCTTCCTAGCTTCACTCCTTCCTCTCCCGCCACTCCCTCTACGAACTCCTCCAATCGGGTTTCCGTGCTGCCCAGAGATCTCAAAGTTTCTAAGGCTAAGGCTCTATTTTTGGGCCTCATTCCAAACCTCTTGGTTTCCTTTTCAGTTCAAGGAGTATTTAGTTTCTGACAAGTCCACCAGCTATAATTGTCAGCCTGGCTGCATTGGTTAGCACTGCAGGCTATGGATCAGAAGGTTGTGGGTTAAAGCCCATCAGCAAAAAAAAATAGATCAGCAAGGTACTAACCTACAGGTAGAAACTCTAGCTGAATGCTACCCTTCCCGCCCCCGCTATTTCAGTGACACTGAAGCCAAATGTAAACCAAACTCAGACACAGTGACTCTCAACTCACGAATACATAGTCACTCCCCTTCACAATATATATCCTGTGAAGCGCTTTGGGATGTCCTCCTAACGTGAAAGGCTCTATATCAAATGCAAGGATTATTATGATACAGTATTGCTTGCTACGTTTTCAATTTCTCCATGCAAACAGTTGGATCCAACCAATCCCCTGATCATAATAATAATAATCCTTGCATTTGATATAGTGCCTTTTCACGCCTTTGAGACGGCTCAAAGCGCTTCATAGAATATACTTTAAAGTGAATTGACTGTATATTTTGTGGGCGAAACGCAGCAGTCAATTGCGCACAGCGGTGTCCCACAAACAGTGGTGGACCATCTGCTCAAATATCGATTTTCTTCACAGTGTATGTGTCTGCGGTGTGCGTGCGTGTGTGTGTGCGGGAGGGAGAGAGGAGGGAAGACGGACAGAGAAAGAGAGGGGTGGGAGGGGAGACAAACTGTTTTTGTATTCTGTGATACCTCAACAAACTTACATCAGACTATGTCAAGCTGAAACTGGAGCTGAGTATTGATTAGCACTGAAGTTGAAATCCCAAGTCGGGTGAATTTAAACCCAGTATTAAGGACACGAATCACATGCTTATCTCTATTGTAAAACACGACTTGTTTGCAGCCAGTTTAAGGTCAGCTCCGAACTCTTGTTTGGATATTGATCTTGCTAGATAAAGATTCCACACATGTACGTCACCCACTCATGGGAATTTCTCTGTGTTTGGAAAGGAATATACACCCTCTTCCCCAGGAGGGATGCATCTTGCTTACCTAACATTCCGGAGAGTATGAGGTGTTTGGTTGGCAAGAGCAAAGGCTTGAGGAGATCCCAGAGCTTGTGATGGAATTTAACCAGCTCTTGTCT